AAAAAAAAGTGAGGGAAAAAAATCTTTGGACTTTTTAGTTATATGGTTGCCTTAATAAGCAGAGGTTGATGTGAAACATAAGTTCATAGAGTTGATATTGAATATCTCTTATAAAACATTTGATTATGTAAATGTATTTGAGTGATGACTAGCTAGATAGTTTGGATATGTACATGTGGTCATAAGCAGAAGTAAAATTAAGGAGTATGTTAAATTGATAAATTTTGTACTGTTTTGAAGTTTCCCGTGAATTATGTTTTTTAGTAACTTTTGGGGTCATTATTCAAATTCATATTGATCCATTATTTGAGTAGTTGGTTGATTAATTTTTATGGTTTTTGTTCTTAGTATTTTGCTTGAGGACAAGCAAACGTTTAAGTTTAGAGGTATTTGATGAGTAGGTTTTATACCTACGAATTGAGTACTTTCGGGTTGATGAATTTGCAAGTTTTCAATTATTTTATATTTTTTATATTTTTTTTATTTGTTTTGATGTTATTTGATAGGAATCATCATTTAGAAGCAAACAAGATCATTTGGAAAGAAACAAAGTTAATTTGGAGTAGAAGTATTGGAGTTTTGAAGGCTAAGCAACAAGAGAAGTTTTAGACTTAAAAGGGGGCAGCGCCTAGGTGCCCATATTCTGCCCAAGCAGTGTTTTTCCAGCACCTAGGTGCTTGTGTTGGCTCTGGACGCGAATTTTGACTTATTTTTGACCCAAAATTGAACTCTAATGGGGAGATATGCTAGGGTTTGAGTTGGAAAAGGGATATACTGATTTTGGGGGCTGCTAACATAGGAAAAGGCCAAGGATTAAAAGAAAATTCAAGACAAGGATCGAAAGAATCAACGCGAAGAAAATCGAAATTGAAGGCTAGAAAGAAAGTGAAGATTGCAACTAGGTTTTCATTCTTTTCTCTTACTTTTACTTCTTAATTTTTTAAGATATTTAATTTGAGAATGATGTTTTTCAATTACATTTTGGACTAAGTTCTTATTAAGATTATAACGAAACCTAATATCTAGTTAAATTAATCTACTCTTGATTCTAGTTTTATTGATCATATACGAGTTGTTTGTCATATTTTGTGCGTAATATATGATTATGTGGCCAACAATTAATTTGATAACTTAGATGAAATTGAAAAATGAATTCTAGGTTTAGATTGGAATATGATGACATGCATCTGGTTAATTCTTCTTCGAATTGAATAGCTAGGTTTGTGTATATGATAAGAATATACTTATATGTCTTGTGTAACTTTTATGATAGTTTGAATTTAATGAATCTATTCTAAATTATTTTGCATAGAAATATAGTAATTTAATTGGGAGATAATTTTATCTAACTATCGGAAGAGATTTGATAAATAATTTTGAGTTCTTAATTAACAACTTATTTTGATTAATTGACTGAAAAGAGAGTTAGAAAGATTTATACGAAGCATTAGGGAAAGTTGTAATCTTAAGTTCTTTTATCCGGTAAATTCAACCTTTGATTATTAAGTTTATATTTAGTTTTAAATTAGTGATTTTTTAGTCAATTCTAATTTTTTAAATAAAATTGAATTGATACAAAGTTAGTACTTTGATATTATTAGCAATAATTCTCTGTGAGAACGATACTCTACTTATCACTTTATTACTTGTTGATCGTGTATACTTGCACGTAAATTGTCAATATCAAATTCAGACAACAGTAAGCATCATCGTGTGTCATTTTAGTTTAGAGTCAGTAATCGTGTGTCTAGTCTATTTGAGTTAGTACACTCTGATATATGGAGTCCAATAAAGAATATTTTATTTAATAAATATCCTTATTTTGTGTCATTTTNTGTGTCTAGTCTATTTGAGTTAGTACATTCTGATATATGGAGTCCAATAAAGAATATTTTATTTAATAATATCCTTATTTTGTGTCATTTTTGGATGACTATTCTCATGTAACTTGGTTGTTTCTGATGAAAGCTCAGTCTGAATTATTCTCTATATTTGAGACTTTTCGTAAGAAAATAAAAACTCAGTATGGTTGTCATATACGTATTTTACGTTCTGATAATGCTCAAAAATATGAATCTGATCTTTTTTCAACTTATCTTAGTAAAACTGACATTATTCATCAAACTTCTTGTGCTTACACATCTCCACAGAACAGTGTTGCTGAATGCAAGAACCGTCATTTGTTGGAAATCACCCGTGCCCTATTATTTTAGATGAATATTTTCTAATATTTTTGGAGTGATGTTCTTACTACTTGTCACCTTATTAATTATATGTCATCCTCTGTGTTAAATAGTCAAAGTCCATATTCTGTCTCTTTTCCTAGTAAGTCTTTATTTTTCCTAACTCCTAAGGTTTTTAGATGTGTTTGTTATGTTTACAATTTGGGTCCTGGGTTTGATAAACTTGACCCTCGAGCTACCAGTACTTCTTGGTTATTCCCGCACACAGAAGGGGTATCGTTGCTACAGTCCTTCTCTGCGACGATACTTTACTAGTGTCAATGTCACGTTTGAGGAATCTGTTCCATATTTTTCAGCACCTTCTCAGCCTTTGGATCTAGACTTTGGGTCATCTCTCGTACCACTATCTCTTCCCTCATCTTCAAATATTCCACTGCTCGTTGTGTTATTATCTACTTTACCTCTTCATGTATACTCTCGTCATCTTTGACCATCAATTGAGATGCTCGTACCGTCTTCCTTGCCGCCTGATGATCTTGGTCCATCAAGTAATTTAGACTATTTACCTATTACTCTTCGAAAAGGTACTCGTTCATGTGTTACTAATCATCTCATTGCTCATTTGTTTCATATGATGTCTTATCTTCTGTCTTCTCTTGTTTTACCTCTCAATTATCTACTATATCTATTCCTAAGCATTTATTTGATGCATTATCTGATCCAGGTTGGAGGAAAGCTATGGAGGATGAGATGGATGCCTTACATCATAATGGAACTTGGGATCTCGTTCATTTACCTCCTGGTAACCAAACTGTTGGTTGTCGTTGGGTGTATACTGTTAAATTTCATTAGAATGGTTCTGTGGAGTGTCTCAAAGCCCGACTTGTTGCAAAGGGCTTTACTCAGACCTATGATGTTGATTATGAGGAGACTTTATCTCCTGTTGCCAAAATTTTCTCTGTTCGTATCTTAATTTTTTTGGCTGTTAATCTTAATTGGCCCTTGTTTCAGTTAGATGTCAATTATGTCTTCCTATATGATGACTTGATTGAAGAGGTATACATGGAGCAGCCACCTAGGTTTACTACTCAAGGGGAGTATGGTAAGAGTATATCGGTTAAAGAAATCTTTGTATAGTTTGAAGCAGTTATCGAGGGCATGGTTTGGTAAGTTTNTGGGTTTACTACTCAGGGGGAGTATGGTAAGAGTATATCAGTTAAAGAAATCTTTGTATAGTTTGAAGCAGTTACCGAGGGCATGGTTTGGTAAGTTTGCAGATTCAATTATAGAGTTTGGCTTATTTGATGTCAGACAGACCATTTTATGTTTCATAAACAAACGGATACTGAATATATTCTATTGGTGGTCTATATAGATGATATTCTGATTACTGAAAATGATTCTGAGGGGATTGTCAAGTTAAAAATCTTCTTGCAAGATTGATTTCATACTAACGACTTGAAAAAACTCAGGTATTTCTTGGAAATTGAAGTGACTAAATCTAAACAGGGTATTTATTTATCACAGAGGAAATATGTAAGCAGGTTTGCTGGGTGGCAGACCGATTGATGTTCCTATGGATCCGAATTAGAAATTATTAATGGATGATGGTGCACTGTTTGAGAATCCGAGTCGGCATCGCAGATTGGTTGGAAAGCTTAATTATCTCACTATTACTCAACCAGAGATTTTCTATGCAGTCAGTATAGCAAGTCAATTCATGGGGTGTCTTAGAGTACCATATTGGGAGGTAGTTACTCATATTCTACGATATCTCAAACGAGCTCTTAGACTTGAACTGTTATATTGAGCTAATGGACATCTCAGAGTGAAAGGTTTCTCAGATGTTGATTGGGCTAGCTCTCCTTCTGATCGAAGATCAACCACTGGTTATTGTACTTTTTTAGGAAGTAATGTTGTCTCATGGAAAAGTAAAAAACAATCTGTGGTAACAAGATTCAGTACTGAGGCTTAGTACAAGGCAATGACGCATACGACGAATGAGTTGACTTGCCTACTACATTTTCTCCAAGAAATTGAGTTTCCAGTTCAACCTCCTTTACAATTGTTTTATGACAACCAGACAGCTATCCATATCGCTGTCAATCCAGTGTTTCACGAGAGAACCAAATATATTGAGGTTGATTGTCATTTTATTTTGGACAAGATAGCAGCTGAGAAGATTATAATTCTATTTGTGAAATCTGAAGATCAACTTGCAGATATGTTTACCAAAGCATTGAGTCGTACACGTCTTATAGCGATATGTTCCAAGTTTTGATTATATGATATATATAGTCTAACTCGAGGGGAGTGTTAAGAGTATTAAAGTAGTATATGTAAATTGTTAATAGTAATAGGGTATTATGTATAAATACAAGAGGGTGTATATATAATTATTATTATTGTGGGTTAACTATAAATACAAATGATGTATGAGAGATAGGTTAAGTTTTAACCTCTCCCTGTTTCTCTCTAAATATTGTCTCTAATATTATGTTAATCCTCAAAACTTAACATTTGTAATTGGATTTTGGGTGTGATAACAAATATGCTTATTATTGATCATTTTTTTTATTACTCTATGCCTACAAGCACGGGAAATAACTAGTATAGAAATAAAGGAACTTAAAGAGGTCATATAACTAATCCAATAGAATGGAATATTGTACTAATTCTGAGGTAAAAAAATCATAATCTCACATGTCCATGTATCAATCATTTCCTTTGTAAATGTTAAAATTCAGTTTTCACTGTATGACTTTCGCCAGAAGACAATATGAGATATTATCATTGCATGCTATATGTACTAATCGAAAAGGTACCATCATTTCATACTATATCTCCCATGTTGGAAACAATTTGAAAATCTTGTCAATTCCAGATTTGAAAGTGTTTGGTTTGATATCAGAACTTCCTTGGTTGAAGTTCAACACCCCCATTCCACAAGAATTTCGGAGCTGATGCATTCAATTCTCTGTCCCGACAAGCTGAATTTTACTACAGGGTGAAAGGGTCCACCCCAAAACCTAGGGCTCTCAAAAATGGAACTCCATTTAAATTGCTTCCCTTGTCATGAGATACTTGGCACCCATTTGAAAAAGATGAAGTTTTATGTACACTCACGGGAGAAAGAGAAGACAGAGACAGCTAACGTTCCATAACAACATGCAGACAAACTCCAAGGAACTTCCATGGTCAAGAAAGTTCCCCTAAATCTGATGAATCTAATTCCTGTTTCAATAGCAAAACTAAGCCATCCAACACTTCATATATTTGAAAGCCTTCAGGATGACATCCATCTTCGACTGTAAAGGTGTGACTCTTCCCATTTACTTGAACAAGACTTTTCCCAGGAGATTTTGTCACTTGATTGCCTCTCATCAGTGTTCTAATTGCAGCAACTCCATCCCACCTTCCTGCTGATGCATAAATGTTAGCCATTTCCACATATGGAGCTGCAGCTTGGGGTTCCAGTTCAAAAAGATGACAAGCTGCATACCTACCGATCTCTATGTTGTTGTGAATCTTGCAAGCACTGAGCAATGCACTCCATATGCCTGCGTCAGGTTTGATAGGCATAGTTTGGATGACCTCCAGTGCTTCTTTTAGCTTTCCTCTACGGCCAAGAAGATCAGTCATACAGGAGTAGTGATCCAGTCCCGGATTTATTCTATATACTTTACTCATCAAATTAAAGCACTCCCATCCTTCCTCAAGGAAACCTGCATGAGTGCAAGCTTGGAGAACAGCAAGGAATGTTACATGGTTGGGCTTCAACCCCAATTCCAACATCGTAAAGAAGTGATCCAAGGCTTCTTTGAATTCTCCATTTAGAGCACTCCCTGCAATCATAGTTGTCCAAGAGACAATGGTTTTTTCATGCATTGAATGAAAGAGTTCCCAAGCGTCTCTTATGCTTCCACATTTTGAATACATGTCTATCAATGCATTGCATATCAATACATTATTTTTCAACCCGTTTGAGATGGTGTAGTTGTCAATCCATCTCCCAGTGTCAAGTGCTCCTGTTTGGCCGCAACCCAAGATCAGATAAAGCACAGTGACCTTATCAGGCTTCTTACCAGCTGCTTCCATAGAGTGGAACAAGGTTAATGCCTCACTCAAATCACCTTTGTCAGCATACCCACCGATCATAGCAGTCCACGAAACACTCGTTCTGTCCACCATTCTATCAAATACAGATCGTGCAGAATTAGTATCTCCACACTTGCAATACATAGAAATAAGGGTGTTTAGCACAGAGATGTCCACCTCACAACCTACTTGGATCCCATGACAATGAATCAACTTACCCTGATATAGTCCTTTGAGTCGCCCAAATGATGATAGCAGGTTTAGAATCGTGCTCACATCTGGCCTAAATCCATCACAAAGCATCCGATTATAGAACTTAATTGCTTTAAATGATTCCTCAAGGTGGGCACATCCTGTAATCAGCGAGTTCCATGACACAACAGTTACAAAAGCCAACACAATCCCCTGGAAAATCATCTCCGCCGATTCCATATCGCCACATTTGGCATAGGCGACAATCCAAGTATTAGCAACCGAAACATCAGCTTCTATCCCAATTATCATCCCAAGCGAATGCACTGCATTCATCAATTTAAGATCCTTTATAGCAGCAACCAATTGTGTCAATCCTACGACTGTGACTGAGTCCGGCTGAACTCCTTCAAATCTCATTTGATTGAAAAGTTTTGAAACTCGATCAAGAAAACCCATTTGAGCAAACCCCACAAGCATTGCATTCCAACCAGCAAGATCCTTTCTAGGCATTGATTCAAACAAGTCATATGCATAATCTATGTGGTTACATTTTATATACATGTCAACCAATGCCGTCTGAACATAAATGTCCGATTGAAATGGGGATTTAGCGATATGGGTATGGATGATTTGGGAGTATTTGAGGTTAGAGAGTTTGGCACAGGCCTTTGCTATAAAGGGAAACGTTAAATTATTCGGTTCTAAATCGATTCCTTTCATTTGGCGAAAGAGAGCAAGGGCTTTGTGGCTTTGATTTTGGTCTACAGCTTCTCTTATGCTAGAGTTAAAATGAACAACAGTCCAGGGATTTGAAAAACGGTTGAAAATGGGAGTGGCAGTTGATTTCTTCATGTCTTCCCGTGGAGTAAAAATTCCCGTGGGGAAGTTGTTTCAAGGGTCAGTGATGTAATTTTCCAACCAAACTAACTTCTCAAGTGTCCGGAAACGTCGTAATGACTTTGAACCGAACCACGTTTCCTAATTGGATTTACAAAATTTTGACATTAAATTAAGAGGTCATGACAACATATGATTTAGAGTTTTTATTAGGGCATAAATTACATGACATCAAATAAAGAAATTAAACTCAACTGTCATGTCATTTGAACTCTTAATTTAGTGCTAAAATTTGATCAATGTAATATTACCGTTCTTATTAGTATCAAAATAGAAAATTAAAAAAAAAAACGTTTCCTAATTCGTGTGTACTTGGGACTCCTTTCCATACTCGAACACAATTACAATTCCTTCAAGCGCACGATCATATGACCTATAAATGTGGAGAACCTTTTATGCACAAGTCCCATCGTACACTTTTCTCTGAATTACTCTCTAAACAACAACAATGGCCGACCTTAAAACCCCATCCATGATGCTCGTTTCTCAAGAAGAATATGAAGACGAAAGAAGACTTTGTTGTTTCAATATTCAGCAGAAAAGGGCCAAGAACATGTCAACAAAGCTCCAAAACAGTCGTTTCTTTGGTTCCTCTCACGGATGGGTCATGGTTTTGGACGAAAGAGCAGACCCATATCTCCTCAACCCCTTCTCGTACGCTCGGATTCGACTCCCTCCCAAAGAAACTTTTCCACACATACTGGGTGTTTCCAAAGGATACGATAATCAACACTTTATTGTGGACTACTGGTACGAGGGTTTAGTGGTTCGTCGTCAATTGTCCATAAAAGAATTGCAGTGCGGTTTGGTCATCAAAGGTGTTCTATCTTCGGACCCTTCTCGCAACATGAACAGCTACAAAGTCATAGTCATCTATGGCTATGAATCGAAGCTCGCTTTCTTTAACTATAGAGATAGTTCATGGACAGACCTTGACGGCAATCATGGTCCTTATTCTGATATCATGTGGCACAATAATCAGCTTTTTGCATTAAGCGACAAGGGTTCGATTGAAGTTTGGGATTTTGAGAACCCTCGTTCCATGAAAACTATGGTAATCCAACCTTTTTTCCCAGGAAAATCTTGGCGTTCTACGGAAGGACTTTATTCAAGTCGATGCTACTTGGTGGAATCATCCGGAGAGCTTCTGCTTGTTGTTAGGTATGTGGGTGAGTTCGTTGGACATGATGGTGTACCAGTTTATGAGGCAGACCTTCTCACTGATGAAGATACACATCCTCTGGTTTGTCCATATAGAACACTGCAATTCCATGTTTATAAGCTGAGTTTTATTAAGAACAAATGGGTAGAGGTTGATGGTTTAGAGGATCGTGCTCTTTTCGTGGGTGGAAATCACTCGATGTCAATCTCGGCTTTGGATTTTCCAGAATGCAAGAAGAACTCGATTTACTTTACGGATGATTATTTGGAGAGAATAAACGAGGATTACTTGTATGGGGGTCATGATTTGGGTGTTTTTAGCTTGGAAGATAGCAGTGTTGAGCCTTTCTATCCATGTGATTCAGAGAGGATTGAACCACCACCAATTTGGCTTGTTCCGACTCCATGTGTTGTGATTAATTAGGTTGCTTTCTTGTTTTCGGTGTTTTAGTTTGAGTTTTATATTTACATTCATTCCAATAATAGGAAAATTTTGTTCATTCTTCTATTTTTTAAGGATTCTTTGGTGTCTTTGTGCATGTTTCATGATGGATCATTATTGTTTGAACTCATTCAGTTCAACCCAGATATAATTTGATCTGAGAGTGATTGTTGCAGTCCATCCTTGGAACTGTCCCCAATTCCATGGAAATCTTAAAGATATCACCGTCAATCCGTTACACATTTTCAAGCAACTATTCTGCTTCTTTTTTTTCCCCTATTCTCATGAAAATAGATAACTGATTTCATAATATCATGATCAATTTTCTACCAGTTTTCAATCCCGGGCAACAGTGAGAAATATTTTTCCAGAATTGATAGCATCTCTCCTTTCCCAACGAGGGTATAATTGTCATTTAATATTTCCCATTACAAAAGTGAGTTAAAATTACCAACAACGTAATGAAGGATAATTTACCATATGTTGTGAGGTAGTACCATCACAAGAAACCTCGAGGAAAATGATGGTAATTATCTGTATCTAATTTGGTAGAAAGCAAAGAAAGAAAAAATCATAGAAACTGCACCGTCTTGAGCCGCAGAAATTTGAGAGAAACAAGACAGCCAGAAGCCTGCTTCAAAAAAACCAGAGATACTCAATCTTGTACATGAGAAACTTAATGCATAGGCTTTTAACTAATTTCACAACAATCAAATAGATGATTCATCTTGGAGGAGTTATAATTCAAATATCTGTAACCAAAAACTAAAAATGCGAACACTAGCCGTATGGAAAGTCACATCAAGTAGAAACATTTCAAACAATCCCCCATGTGCGAACTTCTTCACGCAGCGCCTTTGAATTTGGCATCGTATTCATATGGTTGCTGCACACAAAAAAAACACAGAAAATGAGTTATAAATGCAAAAATATAAAACAAAGGATACCATACTATACCTATTGAATGAGCTAAGTAGATTTTGGTTTGATTGATATTTTAAACATTGATTGTAAAATTATAAAACAATATAAATAAAACTTTACATGTGTCAAAATTTTATTTGTTGAAAATGGACGTACAGTACTGAAAAACCAGACCCACAAACAAAACCCTCCCTGAAGAATAAGATTAGAGGTGCTGGGGATTAACAAAAGCTGGGGCAAAGCACTTAAAAAGTATAAGTTTACTACTTGACAGGAGAAGCATATTAAAATAAGTGGGGATGAAACATGACACGAAAAGTCCACTACTTTTTGGATGGAAAGTCCACATGCATTTTTATTTCAAAGGTCTACACCAAAAAATTAAAAAAGTCACTCCCAACCAGAGGAACCCGCTTCATCATACCTAATGATGAAGTTAGTCATAAGGTGTTCAATTAAGGCACTGTTCACAAACTATAGAGCTGAACTACTGCACCTTAAACATGAAAAAGTTGGATACTAGAAGCCTATCAGGACAGCAAACACAGACTTGGCTCCAATACATGTATAACTTCCTCAGTACCAATGGGAAGGGAAAAAAACAAACAGCTCTTAATGGCAGCTTCGCTGATAACCATGTCGTACCAGCTCAGAAAATTAGCAAACACATTCCACAAAAAGCTTCCCAAAACAATCTAATTCAAACCCTAGGAAATAGGAAATAGCACTCCAAATAACTCACAGTTAACCAAATTCCTCACTGTTTCCAGTCAATATTTCCCAGGAGCTAATCATATATCCTACATCCACATCATATGGATAAGCCATGTAATTTTGATATTTTTCGAAAACAGTCAAATCAAGAACTAATATCCATAACACAATGTCCTTCAGGGTATGTTTGGTTTAGATATTAAAGGGGTGGGATTGGATTAATTTAATCCGGTAATAATATAATACTAAATTTAGATGAGGTTATAACGACCCGATATTAATTTTAATTAATCCCAACCCGGTTCACTATTGTCATTTAACACCTAATATTAGGTAGTAATGAATAGCATATAGTAGATAGTATTATTTTTAACAAGTCAAGTATTAAAAATGCAATGACTTTATTATCATTGCAAACTTAGAGTCGCACCTTGATATAGAAGTTATACATTATGCAAATTCTTACCCACAATATTTGTTTTGTCATTTTTAATTTAATACCATACTATTACTTAATCCACACATAAATTTGGTATTGTAATTATAGATTTATATATTATCCCAACCTTGATTCAAACTTATTATACAAGAATATGATTAAATAGTACTCTTGCTAACACCATTTTATGGATTAGATGGGAACTAATTACCCAATCTCATTCTTTATTTATACCTGAAAAAACATGCCCCAAGTGTATAAGCAACAAGAAGCAACCATGCAAAGTCAAAATACATTACCAAGAAAATGGCTGAAATCATTTTGCGTGCAAACCACCTCTGATGCATTGCTTGTTGTGCACGTTGTGCTCCTTCCACATTTTCAAATCGCAAATATACATAACCAGCACTATTCCTGTAATTTAAAATAATTTATAGACAAGATTGGCAGACGTAATACCAAAAGCTCAATAGTTAGGAAACAATGCTAGGTAGTATACTTGTGAGAAGTGGAATTATTCCAGAAATAGGGAAGGATTGCAACCACAAACTCACAACACCACATAATTTGTTGACCATTCAAGTCTATAAACAACGTGATAAAGGCGCGAAACGAAGAAAATAAAGAAATTCTGAGAAAATATTTCCAAAAATTCTTGCGAAATGGTGCCAAAGGTTCACACAAGTGTACTCTATGGTTGTCGATTGCAAAAAATTAGGCTGTACAACAATCAGGTGCTATCTTAGAGCACAACACAATACTGACAATTAAAATATCACTTATGTGGTTTCACACCAACAATTCATAATTCATAGGCATGGAAACCTTTGGGGCGATCAGAAATGTTCATCAATTACAAATTACCAATATCATGGCTACACGCAATAACAAAGAGGTACCCTGATAATAACTAACATAAGTTTTTACTTCAATACTTACTTGTCCACATATATATGCTTCACCCGTCCATACTTAGAACACTCCTCTTCCACGTCCTCTTTAATGTCCATATCAAACTCTGGATCAGACTGCAAGATAGTTTTGAAGTTCAATAATTTACATAAAAGAGAAAACTGGGGAAAAAATAAGATTTAGAAAGCCTTGTATGAAAAGGAGCCACCAGGAAGATTACAAACCTCAGTGGCTGGATCAAACATGTTCTTCAAGAGTAAACACTCGCTAGGACTCCCAATAGGTTCTAAAGCTGTAATAATTTGTGCTGGAAAAACTTGACCAGGAACTGCAGCCGGCCCATTGATGGGCAAGCTAATAGGTTGTTGAGATGATCCATTAAGCATAGGCGTCCCAACGGACCCTGCAACACTGCAAATAGGAAAATAAAAGTTTATGCAATGCTCTCAACCTCTAGAAAGGAATAGATTGTAAAACATACAAACCTTGAGGCAATACCACTGCGATCCAGCTTCTGCATCAGCAATGCCCTCGATTGAGCATTTAGAGCCTGCATTAGATATTTATACATCAGCCAAGTACTACTAATGACGAGAAGTGTTCAGCAAAAGAGAACACAGAAGGTAATGGCATCAAAGGAAGAATCGGGGCCAGAACTCCAAATTTTTTTTCTGGTGTGCCCCCTTTTTTTTGGCTGCAAATCTTAATGTTCACAAAAAAATGTTTGGGGTGTGAGAGAGAGAAGGCGAGATACAAAAATATGCCCGTGACTGATTCTACTTCCGATTCAAATTTAAGAAATGTGTTGGCCATGTATAAGATGGCAGAAGAGGTGCCTGGCATCGGAATATTTTTAATCAGTCTTCGACAGAAGTTGTCTTTATAACAGAGATAGTAAGTAAAAATAAGAGTACATGGGAGTGAACCCTAATGTCTCTCCTTTACAGCCTTATAAACTCTCCTTCCATTCTTATTACACGTCATGTCAAACCACGTGTATGTTTATTTTTCGATTATCCCTTTCTTTTCTATCTTCGACCCCTATCACAATCTATACTTTTTTATGGTACCGAAGAACTAGGAAGCTTAAATAATTCTCTAAGTATTACGTTGTCGGATCCAAAGGGGTATCTTTATCTCGCAGAGAGAACATACATGGATTTTCTCAAGGAAACAGCTATATTTGGTGTAAAGCCAGTGATACAAAGTGGAACAAAATCACAAACTAGGAAAAAAAATACTGAAAGTGCTTTGATTGTTGGGGAAATAACACTAGTTGATTGCGAAGCTCATTTATTTACCTCATAATATCCTAGTGAGTCAATTTATGCATTCATCCTGCGAGCCACCTATAGTGTGTGTGCGTATTTTTTTTTTTTTTTGGGGGGGTAGGGAGGAGGGGAGGCTTCATTGGATTTTTCATTATTCGATGTTTGTACAAGACAGATTTCTCAAAGACTACAAAATAGGTGGGATATAAGAAGTATGGGAAAAAACCATCTTAAAAATTGGATAACTTTGGATTCAAATCAGCCACATCTTTCCGTTATGTCATACATTTAATGCCTTTATCCGTGCTTTTAGGCAGGAAAAGAGAACTAGCTGACTCTATTGACTACATGCCTAGCATAGGATAAATCCACGAAGGATATTGAAGCCTCAGATCAATATTCTACTGCCCTAAAGTCTGTCACTTGTAAGGTTGGTTAATGTTTTCAAGGCATGATCATCTGCAAATAGAATCATAGAAAAACAGGGCACGCTCAAATACTTCATGGGTGTATGCATCCGGTAATTGCATGAAAGGAAATTTATTGACATGGCACAGTTATGATGAGACCTAGTGCAGAGGCAGATTTTAGAGAAATGGCACGTGGAGTCTGTCAATAACTCTGGTCCAAGATATTATAGAAAGAACACAATATTGACAGTGAAGAGCCTATGCAATTGTATTGCAATAACAAAACAGCAATAGATATTACTCATAACCATGTTCAACATAATCGGGCCAAGCATATTGAGGTTGATAGACACTTCATTCAAGAGATGTTGAATTTGTACTTCTGATGTAAACACTAAAAATTAACCTGCAGATAAATAGACAAAGGAAATTCCACTCAAAGTTTCTCGATATCCTAAGCCAGTTGGGCATAGTGTTGTGAAAAGCGAGCCTAGGTGAGAAGTGAAGCGAAACGAGCCTTGGTCGCCTTGAACATTCCAGGCAAAGCAAAGTTAAGTAAAACGAGAAAAAAACAAGCCTAGGCGTCGAAGCGAGCCAGGCAAAAAAAGTGAACGCCTAATTACAGTTTTTTTATTTTCTCCTCCTCCCCCCTCCCCTTTTCTTCTTCCTCCGTAACATTAACCAAAACCTAGCAGAGGTGATATTATATGTGTGTATATATATAAAATAAATTAATTGATTCATCTAACAGTATCATATGACAATCTGTCTTATTATAATTAGATAATGTTGAATGCGCTGTTTTGATGTGAATGCTCTTGTTAATCAATTTGCTATATGCTTTATTTGATTAATCAATTTGTAAATGTNTGATGTTGAATGCTCTGTTTTGATGTGAATGCTCTTGTTAATCAATTTGCTATATGCTTTATTTGATTAATCAATTTGTAAATGTCTTATTTAGTAGCGATATTAATCAATCACGATGGAAGTCGAATCCACATTTGCTAGCTTTACATTTAGATGACGTGATTATGTCAATTGATTATTTTTAGAATGCAATAATGTTCAATATTTAATATCTTGTTTATTTAAAATATGTTGATGTTTAATATTTTGGTTAAATTTAAATATTGCAATCAAAATATCAAAATAAAACATTTGTTTATTTTTTTTATTGTTCGCTTTGGTTCGATGAAGCGCTCACTTCGCTTCTCGCTTCACCCTTAAGCCCTCAAGAGACCGGTTTGCTTCGATTCGTTTTACACCTTAAATAACATTGGTTGGGCATGTCCAATATATTTGCATTACCTTAAGGGGTGAGTTGGAATATAAGCTTATTATGTTTCTTAATCAATCTTATTTTTGTCTTCGTTTCAGAGATAGTATATATACGAACATACAGGAGATAACCCTAATCACCCCCCAATTGCAGCAATCAGCGCTCCCTCTATATCTCAACTCACCCTTTTCTATAAGTAAGGAAAGGGTAAGACTTTCAAACATGCCTTGGACACATAAAACCAGGACAATAGCATTGAAAGTGGAGAAGAAAGAGGGCGAAGACAGTGTTGAGATAGGAAAGCTGACTATGTCCGGGCAATGCTTGAAACCTTACCATTTATAACAAAAATGGATCGATGAGCTTCTCCCAACTGATCCTGGGTAAAAAGATTTCATCACAATTGAGCAAAAAATGTTTCAGAAACGCACAAACTCCTTCAGTTTTAGAAAATTATTGCCCAACTGTTTGCCACATTAGCCCCATTTATTGCAAAGGAGTACCCATCATCCTTTAACGAAAGAAATCACTTTACACCCTGATTCTGTCATATTTAAGCAACCCTTGTTGATAATAAACTAGAGAATTTTTAACTCACCAAACCACCCCCATCGTCATCATCAAAGTCCGCAGTTTTCGCTCCCGAGTCTTGCATTCCAACATGATCTGTAACAGAAGAGACCTGTAACAAACAAAACAAAGATGAGTCCCATAGTGAACCTTCAAAATTCAATGCCAAGTGACCANGCTTATTATGTTTCTTAATCAATCTTATTTTTGTCTTCGTTTCAGAGATAGTATATATACGAACATACAGGAGATAACCCTAATCACCCCCCAATTGCAGCAATCAGCGCTCCCTCTATATCTCAACTCACCCTTTTCTATAAGTAAGGAAAGGGTAAGACTTTCAAACATGCCTTGGACACATAAAACCAGGACAATAGCATTGAAAGTGGAGAAGAAAGAGGGCGAAGACAGTGTTGAGATAGGAAAGCTGACTATGTCCGGGCAATGCTTGAAACCTTACCATTTATAACAAAAATGGATCGATGAGCTTCTCCCAACTGATCCTGGGTAAAAAGATTTCATCACAATTGAGCAAAAAATGTTTCAAAAACGCACAAACTCCTTCAGTTTTAGAAAATTATTGCCCAACTGTTTGCCACATTAGCCCCATTTATTGCAAAGGAGTATCCATCATCCTTTAACGAAAGAAATCACTTTACACCCTGATTCTGTCATATTTAAGCAACCCTTGTTGATAATAAACTAGAGAATTTTTAACTCACCAAACCACCCCCATCGTCATCATCAAAGTCCGCAGTTTTCGCTCCCGAGTCTTGCATTCCAACATGATCTGTAACAGAAGAGACCTGTAACAAACAAAACAAAGATGAGTCCCATAGTGAACCTTCAAAATTCAATGCCAAGTGACCATAGAGGGACGAAAAAAGGTGATAGAGAACAGATACATCGTATCGTAAATTGTAATTTTATCAGTTTATTTAACCATAATCCACCTGTAAAGCTCCAATAGACAATCCTACCTTGATAGTCCGACCGGCAATTTCCAGTTTCCCATTCAAACTTTGAGCTGCCTTGGCATGTTCAAGTTGTGCAAACTATAAGAAAATGGCAAAAATGATTGTTAAAAAGATAATGAGCAAATACACAAATGAATACTGCTTAATAACAGGAAGAAAAATTATTTTGGATGGATAATAGCAAAAAACAACTCTCTGTACAGTCAACTTATATAGATACCGACTTGAACAAACCCGAAACCTTTGCAATGTCCTGTCTCAGGGTCTGTTGGAAGTTGCACAAGCTCCACAGGCCCAAAAGCTTCAAAGATCTGAGAATTGACCAAGCACATCATAAACATATTTGAAAAGGAGCCAGTTAATTTAGTAACAGCAGAGAACCTAACTGATAAAGGAAAAGGACAAATAAGTAAGGGGAAAGGACTACTTTGAGCCCATTGCAACAACAGATGATAACAGATATATTCGATATAGTGTCTTGCAGATTCAACNTTAGTAACAGCAGAGAACCTAACTGATAAAGGAAAAGGACAAATAAGTAAGGGGAAAGGACTACTTTGAGCTCATTGCAACAACAGATGATAACAGATATATTCGATATAGTGTCTTGCAGATTCAACAGAGGAATATGGGTATGGCCTTAAACATGAAACAAAAATTTAACAGTTCTCTGGAATTTCCCTTCCACATCATCAGCTTGGCCTTTTATAGGCTAATCACCCACAAATAAAAACCCTGTACTTCCTCAAAGTTTTGAACTTTGCAACTGAAATGCTTCAACAAATATGTCATTACTGCAAATGTAAAAAGTATTCCAACCATTATTCCCGTGTCTTTCTTCAATGTAGAGATGCATATTGAGCAAGGATTTCTACAAATAGGATGTGGTGAAAATTTAGTTTGTTAAAAAGGAAAAAAGCAGAGCATGGTTGGCAGAATGTAGTAAAACTTCAGTTTGTTAGTGGTAAATTCGTATAGAAATCCTGGCCACAAAAGATACAGGAACTGCTTATGTTTGAACCTTTAACAAGATCTAGAGAATACAAACATAATGATTGATAGGGCGAAATAATTAATCTCATGTCTCACATTTGACCATCATTTCTATTGAAGACTGCAAGGAAGATAGTTAACAGTCAACAAATTTGACGATTGATCACCTTTGATAAATAACTTACAAAAATAACATCCTTTTGAATTTCCAGTCATAACTCTCAACGAGACCCTGTAAATAGCTTATGATTTGATTACTTTTTTAATAGAGTGACTATAAACAAATATTTTCGACTTTGGTCAGCCAAACTAGAGGATTCAAGATGGGTGTATACATAGAGACCAGGGAACAAGTCGACTCAAATCCACCCCAATATACAACTGATGTCAAAAAAGAACCGCACTGACAATCTCAAGAAACGTGAGGCAGATTCCTTCATCACTTACGACGAGGAACTAAATATAAAAAGGCTTCTACCGCCATTCNCACACTGACACAATCTCAAGAAACGTGAGGCAGATTCCTTCATCACTTACGACGAGGAACTAAATATAAAAAGGCTTCTACCGCCATTCCAGCATATAATATCTAGTTCAGAAAAGATGGAACTAAATCATAAAGGACACCAAACACTCCTACACCACCAGAACATGAACCTTTGTCAATCCACAGATGAAGAAAGACGGAGGAAAGACATCAATTTTCTCAGTTAGTTTCAGATATCTGACACTTGACAGCGGCACAAAACCAAACAACCTAAGTGATTCTTCTTAAACAAAAATTCCGACAATTATTATACATAAGGGTGTATGACTTATGATAATCGAAGCCAACATAAGGATTTTAGCCTTTCCTTATAGCAAGTTGCACCACATAGTTGTCATCTAAAAAAAAAATCAATCTTCAAGAAATTTTCATTTGGAAAATATCTTGAAACTATAAAAACAACCTGTTTTTCCACTTTAGCATCACACCAACATATACACCAGCTATGATATTGATTTGGGCAATAAGGATGGATCCTTCCCTTTAACCAGAATCCTTTTCCAATAGCAAATTACTCATCAAGTGTGCGGACCATTCTTAACAGACTAGAAATTGTAGCGCACATTAAGGAAAATATACTTGATAATAGTAATCTTCAAATTCTTCAGAAGTTCTTTTCAATTAATAAAATTTATATATTTTTCAGAGGTGAAAAGAAAAGGGGGAGAGAGAGAAGCAGACGGTAGAAAAGGATGGTTAAATGTGTTTTTCCTCAAGTCAGTGAGCAGATAAAATGAAGAGACACCAAGGGCAACTCATGATCTCCCTTAATGTATAATAATAGATGCAACATGAACAAAAAAAAAATGCAAATTGCGCATGTTGAAACGTTCTATTTATTTTCTAGTCTGATGTCTAACAGTTTCCAAATGACAGTAAGGCACAACAAACTGAAGTATAGGCTAGGATGATTGGCACTTCCATAGTAACATGTTCTCATACACCCACACACAATGCTAAAAATGTCTCACCTGAGGGGGCGGCAGAGTAATCCAGGGGTAAAGTTAGTTATCTCTTCTTTTCTTTTTTCTCTCACTAAAGCTGGAAAGAAATGAGTTCCCTCTTCAAAGACCATTGTTTTTGAGTATCACATGCTTTCCTTTCTATATTTCCAATCATCGCTCTATAGATAGTCTTATAAAGAATATCTTTAATTAAGTTCCCCAGTGAAATGGCATTCTTTTCAATTCTAAACAAATTTCTTCCTCCTCTATCAATCTACAAGGCTGTTGTACTCATCTTTTGGCTAATAAAACAAAAGACCTAATTGTCTTACAAAAGGATCCAAATTTCATTTCGGTGCATTGTTTCGGTCACCTAAGAAACGAAAATATTTCAACCTGTTTCGAAAATAGAATGAAAACGAATAATATTTTGATAAATATTTTTCAAAAACATTGGTCGAAATACAATTTTAAACACCTCAAAACATTCCAAAATAATTGTGTAAATACGTCGAACATTACAAAACACATCGAAGTATTAGAATTTCAATTTCATCACTGATTCGCTTCAGCCTCCTTAGAAACAGAAACATTTCGGTTGTTTCGAAACGAAATTTTAATCCTTGGTCTTACACTTCTTGGACACATCTAAAAAGAAGAATCACCCCTGGAAGCAAGAATTGTATCTCCATCCACCCTACAAACCAGATGAACACTGTATTCCTTCCTTTCAATCTTTGGTCATCAATCTATGTAGTCTCTATGCTATAATCTCCAATAAAGCACAACATGGCAACTATCAGATTTTCATCTTTCTTCCTCCACTAACAAGAGTATATATAAAGTAAAAATATTGTAAATGAGGGCCAGAAAAGAATAGCTTGCATCTTGACCACTCAGAGATAAACCAAATCAAAACCAGAATTTTACCTGTTTAAGCTGGAATTCGGTCATGTTGAAGTGTAAATTCCCCACATATAGTTTTCTATCGACAGCACCATATGGTCCAGTAAGACCTCCTGAAGCCCCACCAGAAGTATTAGACTGAACAAGGTTCTTTTCAGCTTCGGAAGGTTTTACCATTACAGGTTGTCCAAGAAGTAGTTGCCCAGACATAGCAATAGCCATTGGTACAGACATTGCATCATAAAATTCGATATAGCTGTAATGTAATCAAAGGCTAAAACTAAGTATGGAAACCGTTCAAAAGACAACAAAAATAATGATTAGAGAAGCCTGTAGCAAAGAAACTTAACAAAAAAAACTAACTTTTAAAGTTTATGAATTATAAATAGACTTTTCTCATGAAGTATAATGCCTAATATGACAGAAAAAAGTCACCAAACACAGATGGTAAGAGATAAATGTCCAAAGAAATAAAGGAGAAGGTTATCCCAAAATGGCGAAAAAAATAACCCAAGGAACAATCTAGAGACAAGCATTCAGCAAGTCCTCAAAGCAATGCAACAGTCCCCATTGAAAAGCAAATCAACCCACACTACAGTCTGACAGAAATTCAAAATTAATAATGACCACAAGGGCTTAAAAGCGACTATTGGATTTTGAGAATATTCCTCTTGTTTGCATTACTTCAAATTGGAAAGCGACTATTGGATTGTAACTTTTATCTTTTTGGTCTAGTTTTTGTACATTTTTTTTTTTTTGATNCAAAACGAAATTTTAATCCTTGGTCTTATACTTCTTGGACACATCTAAAAAGAAGAATCACCCGAGGAAGCAAGAATTGTATCTCCATCCACCCTACAAACCGGATGAACACTGTATTCCTTCCTTTCAATCTTTGGTCATCAATCTATGTAGTCTCTATGCTATAATCTCCAATAAAGCACAACATGGCAACTATCAGATTTTCATCTTTCTTCCTCCACTAACAAGAGTATATATAANATATCACATGATTAATTATAAAATCCAGAAATGGAGAGAGTTGAGCAAACTCACTCACCTGCAAAGAAAAATAAGCAAAACTAACTAATCAATTTGGGAACATTCCTGATGAATTTGAACTCAGGCTTACACCATAGCTGATATGGCAACCTTTCAACTTCTACAGGCCATTAGAACATGGTTCAAAGTTGCAGTATTGGTCATCAACACGGAGGGTACCAAGACACATCAGTTGAGACGTCGTATCGGCTGATACGCTCAAAACACAAGATAGAAGGCCCAAAAAATTATGAAAAATTAAAAAAAATATAAATATCAATCATCCATATATCATATCCCCATAATACATTAGTTAANCGAAACGAAATTTTAATCCTTGGTCTTACACTTCTTGGACACATCTAAAAAGAAGAATCACCCCTGGAAGCAAGAATTGTATCTCCATCCACCCTACAAACCAGATGAACACTGTATTCCTTCCTTTCAATCTTTGGTCATCAATCTATGTAGTCTCTATGCTATAATCTCCAATAAAGCACAACATGGCAACTATCAGATTTTCATCTTTCTTCCTCCACTAACAAGAGTATATATAAAGTAAAAATATTGTAAATGAGGGCCAGAAAAGAATAGCTTGCATCTTGACCACTCAGAGATAAACCAAATCAAAACCAGNTCAATTTTATAAGTTTAAGTCCTAATTAGATTAAGCAGTAAATAATATAAAAAAAAACAAAAATTAAAAGAAAAAAGAAAATAAAAACCGACACATAACCATTGCCCAAGAAATAAAAGGGCGTGGGTCTTTGTCTTTACACACACACACACACACACATTGTGAAGATAATCTGCGAAGATTGCAGTTGAAGATAATCTGCAAAGATTGCAGTTGACGATAATCTGCGAATAATTCAGTTGACGACGCTTCGATCTGCAAGCCAACCATTGATTTGCAATGGCCGATGGGTCCCTGCCAGAAAGAAGAAGAAGAAGAAGAGGCTCTTTGTTTAAGGTGATTCTTCCATGATTTATAGGTTTGTGTTACTAATGTTCTTAATGTCTTATCATGTTTATGTAATGGTAAAAAGGGTCCAATTTAGGGTTAATGGCTAGACAAGTTCATGTAAGAGCATCTCCGGCCCTTACGCCCTTTTTTGTACCCAAATTTAAATTTGAGAAAAAATAGTCTAAAATACTTCTCCAATGCTAGACCTATACTCATCATACTAAATGAAAGAAAAACTTTTTTAAACCCAAATCAAAGGAAACCATTTTTTAAACCCAAATCTTTAATAGTAAAGATGCAATAGTCATATTTTATCCACTTTTAAATTTGGGTTTATTCTCATTTAAATTTGAGTTTCTCTTTCTTTAAATTTGAGTTTCTCCTCCTTTTAAATTTGAATTTCTTCATTGGAGATGTCTATACCAAATCAAACTTTTTACCATTTTTTTTACTCAAATTTGGGTAAAAATTTGGGTTTCCATTAGAGATGGTCTAAAATTCAACTATTAGGGTAAAAAAAGTCACAAACCACCACATGAGTTTTGAAGGCAAATTTACAATCTTGCTTCTTTCCTATCAATTCAATTTTTTTTGGCTTTTGTTGAAGTTGAGTCTTTGTTGCGGATTTTGGGTTTCTTGTCCTCATCTCTTGCCTCTTTTTTTTTTTGGCATTTTCTCTATTGCCTGAGTTGTGAGTGGATGATTCAGTGTGAATCGGTTCGACTCGGATGTGAATCTGCAACGAGTTAGAGCANCGGTTCGACTCGGATGTGAATCTGCAACGAGTTAGAGCAGAATTGTACCAAGTTGGATCGAGTCGAACCGATTCAGACCGATACTTGATAGAATCGTGTTTTTGTAGTATCGTGTATTGGATCGGTGCCGGCCGAAGCTTATATGACTCAGGCCGATACCTTGACCCACACATCAGAATGCCAGAACGAAAGTATGGTGAAGAAGCAGGGCATACTCCGTCCCTGCCTACACTAAGTTAAATAATAACAAAAACCTGCTATCAAGTCCGAACTAAGACTGAATTCAAGTGCAGCCTCTGGTATAGAACAGGAGCACTGTAAACTGGAAAACTATATAACACACATGCACCATCATGTATTGTCTATCAAAATGTGAGTGCATTCAAAATATAGCTCAACTTGATTTTTATAAAAGAGAACGCACATTAATGTTCAGCGCAAAAACACATACCCAACTCCTTTTGACCGCCTTGAATTTCGGTCCATGATGAGTCGAACATCCCTTACCTATAGAAGAAATACATAATGATTCAAATAGATTCCCAAAAAATCGCAAGAAAGATAGGATACAAGGAGCTGTTCTAGATATTCATGCTAAGGTTTTAACACCAAAAATGGGGTGTCGACAAGTTCATTATTTAACTCACTGTGATTTACATTTTTCACTCGCCCACACATAAAGAAACTGAGAGACAGGAAACTCATTATACTCATATAATACATGTTACTGAAGGCAACGGGGCATTCACAAGTCCATTATTTAACTCATGTTTACATTTTCCACTCACCCAGCACATAAAGAACATTGGGAGACAAAAAGTCATAATACATGTTACTGAATACAAAGGATCATTTACTCCAACCGGAAGGAGATTCATCTCAATAAAATGCATTCACAATGTTTAAAGAGCACGTCAAGTAACAGCCTAAATGCATATATTAATCACGTAGTCCTAGATCTGAACATATCAAATGCGGAAATCAGAAAGACAGTGAATGCGCTCCAATAAGATGATATGGAGAGTACCATACCTGATAGTTTGTACAACAGAGTTTGAATGTAAAACAAGTCAATCAGACCATAACACAGATCAAATTTCTTTAGAAGCAATAGAAAAACTTCCCACGAACCTTTCCTGCTTTTGAGAAGAACTCATAAGCATCCCTCTCAGTTGCCTTCAAGGGCATCTGGCAACAAGAAATCATACCATGAAACAAGAATTGCCAAAAACAACAGATCTACATATTGAAAAATCTTACACCAAACAACCATTCAAGACATAGTTATAAACTGCCGACCATCTACCTGGTAAGCAAAAACGGTTCTCTGGTCCCTTTCTGGATCAGCTTCGGGCTCTACCGCTTCTTTCTTTTCTTTGAATTTCCTGCCATCCAAATGACTTGCAACACAATAAGAAGAAATTCAAAGATAAGAAAAAATATGACTTTATTGGCATCATAACCTTCTTGGTTGTCTTGAGATTTCCTGTATAAAAAACACTAACCTCACCCCTTCCCTCTTTTCTTTTTCTTTTGTTTTCGGGTGATAGATGTCACCTCATCAGTCCCACTAAGATCCCATTCTAGCACTTTTTCCACCATGCAACCCAATTCATGCCTAAATAAAAGCTTAATTTTTGGAAAACATTAGGGAATACAAGAAAATTAACATGGTAGATAAGTTCTCAAAAAACAAGGATTTTTGTCAACACGGATGCTTTGATGAACTTGTGCATGCTATAACTCAGACCACTCAACTTAAGGTAACACGACTTTACAAACAAATGCACTTGCATCAGCGTCTTTAGGCCAAAAACTCGGGGCCATATAAGTAACATCCCTAACTCCATTAGAACAGATTTAGACAACATCCCAAATTTAAACTTGCATATCTTATAACAAGAATTCTGATATCTCTACTGTAAAAATATATCTTCCAGTATGTGAGAACTTCTTGATCAATATACTCTATAATCATCCCCAAGTTGTTTCGCAGTATTGGATATTTCTAGTTACAAAACACAAGACAGTGTAGATGTGTGATAAATGGGTAATTCCACCAGGAACAATTCTATAATGGCATTGCAGCAAGGAAAGACCACAAATGTGGAGTTAATAGGATTATCGTCTTCGTAGTGGACAAAAGGTTGAGAAACTGATACAGCCTCACCACATGCGTTGCCAACCTAAAATCGAATACATCATCCGTCAACATCTCAGGTGACATGAAAGAAAGTAACCTTGAAGCCAACTATGTACAAACATCACAAGATTGAGAAGTGTGCCAAATCTTAATGGCCAAAAAGAAACAAAACAGACCTTATCACATACTATTTGTGGAAAAGCCACTTTCTTCAGTGAAGCCTTGAAGAAGTTTCCGCATTGTTAGCCCATTAGAATGTGCAAACAATCCATCTACGATTTCAACCCAAGTTAGAAATTATATAACTTAAGCATAAACTCACATTTTTTTAAAGAGAGGCAAAGTTTCTATCTTTGTCTTCTCGTTTAACTCAACCGCAAGGATCACATGAAACCATATTTAGTTATGTAACTCTTGTTACAGCCTTAAACACATTTATTTCTTTTTGTGGGTAAGTAATAAAGCNCGAAGTTTCTATCTTTGTCTTCTCGTTTAACTCAACCGCAAGGATCACATGAAACCATATTTAGTTATGCAACTCTTGTTACAGCCTTAAACACATTTATTTCTTTTTGTGGGTAAGTAATAAAGCGTGAAGCTAATGAATGTACAAAAGACAAGCAGGAAAAATATGGTTTGTGTAAATCACTCTATGTAGTCAAATTTATGGTGGTTCTAAAGAGCACCAGAGCTTCAAAACCTCAAACAAAGGCATAATTAACATGCACCACTTTATTCGTAGTAAACATATGCATTATACGGGTAAACTAGAGCAACACAACTCCAACAAACTCAATTTATGAGAGATCGATTTCCTTCTATCGAACCACTGAATACCATCAAATTTTTCAAGGCCGATATTGTAAGTCATAAGTCAACTTCAAATATGGCCGCACATTTGGCCTAAGGTTTAACAGGAATTATCAGTTCAAAATCGAAAGAGCAAAACAAAAACAAGAAGTAAAATCTTAGGCATCACCTGTTATCTCTCAATTCGAGTTCGCCTTCTCTCTCTCGTTCCCGCTCAAGCCTTGATCGACTCTGGCTCCTCCTCGACCTACTAGGACTCCGACTCCCACTCTTCCTCGACCTTTCCCTCTCGCGCTCCCTCTCTCTCCTCTCTCCTCCTCTCTCCTTCTCTTGCTCCCTCTCCCTCTCTCTTTCTCTCCTCTCCCTATCCTTATCTCTATCTCTATCTCTATCCTTCTCTCTCCCTCTCTCCTTCTCTGTATCTCTCTTCTCTCTCTCCTTCTCCTTCTCCATTTCCCTCGAACTCCTCCTTTCCCTATCCNCCCTCTCTCTTTCTCTCCTCTCCCTATCCTTATCTCTATCTCTATCCTTCTCTCTCCCTCTCTCCTTCTCTGTATCTTTCTTCTCTCTCTCCTTCTCCTTCTCCATTTCCCTCGAACTCCTCCTTTCCCTATCCCTATCCCTCTCCTTCACTCTCTCTCGGTCCCTGTCCCTGTCCCTATCTCGCTCCGACTCTCTTTCTCCGCTTCGANCCCTATCCCTCTCCTTCACTCTCTCTCGGTCCCTGTCCCTGTCCCTATCTCGCTCCGACTCTCTTTCTCCGCTTCGATTCCGATCCTTCTCATGCCGCGACGACCTCTCTCGCCCACTCTCTCCCTCGCCTCTCGATTTCTTGCTCTTCCTGTTCTCTTCGCTTCGATTCTCCTCATCAAGATCAACGTCTTCGCCTCTATCTCTCCTTCTATAGCCTTTCTCTTTCTCCTTCTTCGCAGATGAATCGTTCTGATTATTCTGATCTTCCACAGTCTTCTCCAGATATTCGTACTCGTCGAAGTCCATTGCTTCTCCCTCAAGGATCCAATTGATAACCTTGAAGTTGTGCAATAACAGTGGCGAACTTTATCAGAACCCTAAAGTTGCAGCGACATTCGAAATGTGAAAAAAAAAANGTGGCGAACTTTATCAGAACCCTAAAGTTGCAGCGACATTCGAAATGTGAAAAAAAAAAACCCAGCACGCTGTGTGTGTTAATAGGGGTTTTGTGAGAAAGAAAATGAGAAGGGGGCTGTGGTTGGTCTCGCAACGGAGACTGGGACTTGAATGTAACTTTGGGAAAAGATTATGAGACGCAATTAGCCGATTTTGACCCGGGACAACATAAGTAATCACAATACAGAATTAGTGAATTTAAATTTAAAATTAATAAAAAAATAATAGATAAGTTAAATTAATATCAACTATAAATGACTCAAAATTAATATGATTGGCACAAGTATTATAAGATTGACATAATTTTTTTTTTTGTAAAATATTATGAAAAAATTTGATAATGAATTTGATTGACAGATAATTAAGTCTTAATTTTAAATTCTTGTTTCAAAGCATATATGAGTTGGTCCGAATATGACAAAATAACAAACAAGTCGAGTTATTGTCAAGATATTCAACACAATTATTTAAATAAATTGAATTAAAATTAACTAGTATTTGACATATACCTGNAAAAGTCGAGTTATTGTCAAGATATTTAACACAATTATTTAAATAAATTGAATTAAAATTAACTAGTATTTGACATATACCTGAACTAACACAACTTAACATGACACAGTAGTCACTGCTACTTAAAACTAGAAAATATTCAATATAATAGTATTGTGACGGTATTACAATCCAATAAAAAAATTATAGGCAAACAAGCNAGAAAATATTCAATATAATAGTATTGTGACGGTATTACAATCCAATAAAAAAATTATAGGCAAACAAGCGAATCTCATCAATTTAGTAATTATGTAATACAATAATTGTCTTTCATAAAGAAGTAAATGTTGGCATGTTTGCCCATAAGGCCCACATTGGGATCCACATATAACATGAATTTTAATCTAATAGATATATGATAACTCTTATGGCGGGTGTTATTAAAACCGGATTGGACCGGCCGATTCGACCGGTTGAATCGTGAACCTGGACCTAAAACGGTCCGGTTCTGTAGTTAGACTGCATAAGGAAATGAACCGCGGGGAAATCATTAAACCGGCTAATTTTGGACCAAATCCGTGAACCGGGCAATTTTGATCAAACGGGACGGTTTGAATTCATGGACTCCATATATTAAAAAAAAAAAAAAAATTTTGGGCATTTGCCCTAAATCGCCTTCACAGCTCAGGCGACTACCAATGTACCCACCACCACTCAGGCGACCATCACCCACCCACAACTTAGGCAACTACCCACTACCCACCCACCACTTTTTTTTGCGTGTGGCTTCGAAGAGAAGGTGGCGAGAGAGGCGAGAGTCTTTGAGACTCGAAGAGGAGGAGGCACTAGGGATCAATCGACTGAGAAGAAGAAAGAGNGCGAACTTTATCAGAACCCTAAAGTTGCAGCGACATTCGAAATGTGAAAAAAAAAACCCAGCACGCTGTGTGTGTTAATAGGGGTTTTGTGAGAAAGAAAATGAGAAGGGGGGCTGTGGTTGGTCTCGCAACGGAGACTGGGACTTGAATGTAACTTTGGGAAAAGATTGNAAAGAAAATGAGAAGGGGGGCTGTGGTTGGTCTCGCAACGGAGACTGGGACTTGAATGTAACTTTGGGAAAAGATTGTGAGACGCAATTAGCCGATTTTGACCCGGGACAACATAAGTAATCACAATACAGAATTAGTGAATTTAAATTTAAAATTAATAAAAAAATAATAGATAAGTTAAATTAATATCAACTATAAATGACTCAAAATTAATATGATTGGCACAAGTATTATAAGATTGACATAATTTTTTTTTTGTAAAATATTATGAAAAAATTTGATAATGAATTTGATTGACAGATAATTAAGTCTTAATTTTAAATTCTTGTTTCAAAGCATATATGAGTTGGTCCGAATATGACAAAATAACAAACAAGTCGAGTTATTGTCAAGATATTCAACACAATTATTTAAATAAATTGAATTAAAATTAACTAGTATTCGACATATACCTGAACTAACACAACTTAACATGACACAGTAGTCACTGCTACTTAAAACTACCAAAGGGGTTAGGAGAAAATATTCAATATAATAGTATTGTGACGGTATTACAATCCAATAAAAAAATTATAGGCAAACAAGCGAATCTCATCAATTTAGTAATTATGTAATACAATAATTGTCTTTCATAAAGAAGTAAATGTTGGCATGTTTGCCCATAAGGCCCACATTGGGATCCACATATAACATGAATTTTAATCTAATAGATATATGATAATTCTTATGGCGGGTGTTATTAAAATCGGATCGGACCGGCCGATTCGACCGGTTGAATCGTGAACCTGGACCTAAAACGGTCCGGTTCTGTAGTTAGACTTCATAAGGAAATAAACCGCGGGGAAATCATTAAATCGGCTGATTTTGGACCAAACCCGTGAACCGGGCGATTTTGATCAAACGGGACGGTTTGAATTCATGGACTCCATATATTAAAAAAAAAAAACTTTTTTTTGGGCATTTGCCCTAAATCGCCTTCACAGCTCAGGCAACTACCAATGTACCCACCACCACTCAGGCGACCATCACCCACCCACAACTTAGGCAACTACCCACCCACCACTTTTTTTTGCGTGTGGCTTCGAAGAGAAGGCGGTGAGAGAGGCGAGAGTCTCTGAGACTCGAAGAGGAGGAGGCACTAGGGATCAATCGACTGAGAAGAAGAAAGAGGGGAGAGTCTCTATTTTTTGTTGGTGTTAAGGGTGTTCTAATCCACATGCTTTATGACATATCTTTCTGATTCCTGAGCCAATTAGGACAAGAAAATCATACCTTCTACTCTTGTTCTCTGTTGTGACCTCTGATGCATCATCTTTCTCAGTTTTTTTTCATTAATTGTGGTTTTGTATGATCATTTTTCCTTCCTTTGCTTTTTTTTTTTTAATAGCAATATTCAGTTTTTGTTTGACATTGTTCTTCTTGTCAAAAGGGCTATGAGCCTTGACTGAGATGAGTTGAGTTTTGGAGTGTTTAAGCTTTCTTTGCTAAGTGGATGGTGTTCAAGCTCTGCTTGTGACAAGAACTGTTGATACTTGTAGTAAAGAGTTCAATGAGGCAACGACAAGTCAGTACTCAGGCGAGGCAGCAATTAATGAAGTAGCAACAACGTTGAGATTTGCGATAGACCTTGAACACCCAAACCTGCCTATTTTCTTGGTCAATATGTTGCTTAGATTACCATTGACCCTTGGATCATGGACATCATATGGCTCTAATTTGCACTACAGTGACCCCTTTAAAGCAAACCAAATTGTTGCATCTCTTTCTCTCTTATGGCCTTTGGATTCATAAAGCATCATTATATACATTTTAGACATATTTAATATTTTTTAGTTAAGTTATTATGTATTATAATTATTATATATATATTTTTTTATTTTTTTATTATATGACCGGTCCAACCCATTAACCCGGTCTCCTTGCCGGTTTGATGACCGATTCGGTTCTAATAACATTGCTTATGGCGATTAAACATAAACAATTGCATTAAAGAAGCGTTTCACTTCAAAAGGGCATTAATCCAACAGTTGTGTACTTTAAGTACTTATCTATCTATATCTATACCACTAATTAAAGTATCTTAAGATAAAAAATTTTTGAATCTCTATTTTATTTTTATATAAGATTGTAAAAACAACTCTATCATTTTACAATTAAATATCTAAATTATTATTATATTCTTATATATTTAAATCTTCAAATTATCTATGACATCTTTTTTAATTATCTATTATCTATGTATAAATGTTAGTTTCTATAAAAAAAAAAATTAATTGAGTATATTACCCTTAAAAAAATATGCATCATTATATTTTCTATAAAGTGTTTAAAAAAACCTTTAAAAACTTCATCAATCTATTATTACATATCTCATATGCAAAAATAATATTATGCCTACATATGCGTATTTTTTTTTTATCGAAAAGTTTAACCTTTTTATTTCTAAGATAAAAAATAGTCGTATATATAATTTTTTTTAAATTAATTTGCGTTACATCAATATAATTCTTCAATCACAATAAAATTTTTAAGTTATACTATAATTTTATGTAATAATAGACATTGTAGTGTATTTTCAAGTAATATTTTTCGATAAAAAAGTTTCTGAGCTGAGAGCTGGTGCCTCCTCACTTTTTCTTGAGCTATTGATGTAAATATTTGTTTTATTGCTGCTCCTCTACCCCCCTTGCTTCAAGGTGTCTTTTAGATTTCCTTGAAGCAAGGGAGTTCAAAGTAGCTGGCAAGTTGACAATATGCCTAGCTANAGCAAGGGAGTTCAAAGTAGCTGGCAAGCTGACAATATGCCCAGTTGAGGCTTGGATTGAGCTCTATGTTTTGGGGAGCAGCGTCAATCCTCAACGATTCTTCTATATCTGGGCTATGGTCGTCAAAATGTTCGTTTTCCATCTTACCCCACTGTAGAGCTGAGATTTCGTGTGGTATCCGCTGAGCTCTAAGCTCAAGCCAGTATAAGGTTATGTTAGTCGAGCTCAAAGGTCTATTTGATATGGATGGTGGTAGAGTTGAGAGTTAACCCGCTTTGTTTTCTGTGCCCAACTACCTTCCAAAAGAGTAACTACCTCCTTAATTTGAAAATTCAAAAGTCCGCTGACTTAGGCTTTTGTGTGTTTCTTGATTCAATTAAAAACTTGGTGTCTTTACGGGTCTGCTATAATTTCTTGAACTTTCTTTCACTCCTGGAGTCTTTTCCTGAATCCCAAAGGTTTTACATTATTTGTTTCTTCTTCTTTGAGGGTCTTTATGGTTGCCCTTGTTTCGCCTTTGTTCAAGGAACGGAGCTCCTTTGGGATTGAATGGAAATGACATTCTTGCTATTTAGTTTCTTCAACCATTTCATCTTAAGATTTGGAAAGGGTAAAGAGGAGGTTCTTCCTTGACTTGGAGTTGCCTCTACGGGCCCCATCCTTTGACGCCCTGCAATTATCTTCCTTCAGGAGATACTTGCTTCTTTGAGGGAGCTTTGGAGATGGGCCTGAGTCTTCCCATTCACTCCTCTATTGGGTTCATCTTGGCTTATTACAACTTGTGTCCTTCTCGCATTTCTCTCAAGGGT